TCAAATACAAAACATTTTTTTCAAACATTTAGTTTGCCTGCAAACGTGAGCAGTCCGTACACAGTTTGTCGTCTTCATGCTCGTACCTCTTACGCCCTGTCAGTGGAAGCCGACAACGGGTTTGGCAAGTCTCCACCGGCTCGAAAAGTATTTTTCACTGATGAGACCGGTATGTGAATGAATTATTGCTCTTCATCTTCTCTCTCTCGTCCCTAAATCAACTATCCAACAATCGGCCTTCCTTGCTGCTTGTAAATTGTAAGCTTCCAAATTTTTGACACATTTTCCACATATTCAGTTCCATCTGGAGCTCCAGCACACATTGATGTGAAACCTGCAGTTGGTGCACCGTCGATCACCGTTTCCTGGAGAAAACCGAGCAATGCCACAGGCCACATCACCCGATATCATCTTTACCACAAGGTTAGCTTTCCTTTCCTTCGCATCATTTTTCGCTTGATTCTCGAGTTCAAGAACAATTCTACCTTACTTCCTACTGGAGAAATTAGTTGGGCGTAGTGATCGCCTATTGGGCCTATTTTGGCCATTATTGCAGTCTGCTCGGTTGGCTATTTCTCTACAGCTTCATTACAAAGTATCGCTCCAAACTCTGTAAATCATTTGCCAACTCATCACGCTCAGCTAAGATGAGAGAACGGGGAAGCGCGCGAGGAACGAGAAGATTTTGTCGCGTTTTCCTCTGCTGGAAAGAGCAAGCTTTCGCCCTAGGTCCTTTAAGCACATGGAAACAAGTTGATGATTACCATTTTAGGACTGTAAAATACAAGGCAACGGTCCGAATCAGTATGTAAATTTATGTGACGCTCCCACTTGAGCGCTCGATTTCTCAAACAGTCTGACGTGAGGCTGCAAACGGTCTAAGTTCGAAGGCAGTGATCATGCTGGCCGGAGAGTGCTGCGGTTTTGATGAAATCATTGAAACTCATTGGTGGAAGGACGTTAAGAGGCGGTTTGAGTGACAAACAGCCAACAGCGCCCTACTCCACCAATGACATTCAGTGACGTCATCAAACTGCACCGCCCACCAGCCATCGAGATCAATGCCTTTAAGGTCTTCTTCTGAATAACGAGAGCAGAACGAAAGTGCAAGGGATAGAAACGGTGTTCAATAACGTTATCTAACGACTACATTTCCTTATGATTCCTTACAGCCCGTGTGACCATGCAGTAACTATCTATTACATGAAATGTATGCAATAGTTAATTAATTGTGAAACAGTTGCTTGAAACATAGCACGTTGCGATGAACCTTTCATTGAAACCTATATAATCTCAAAAATATAATCTCAGAAAAAAAAACCGCCGAAAATTCGGGTATAGGGATTGTCAGCGCCTCGATAGCAAATTTGGCATTCATTCTTGAAATAAACGTTGATACCGGTTAGGCACCATCTGGCTTCAGCTTGGCCCCACTAGATCGCCAAATTGTGCGTCGCCCATTCAAAAACGTGAGAGTTCGCCATTTTGTTACGTCGCACTATGGAGATAACCCGAACCGGCGCGAAGTGTCTAGCTTTGATTGATGTAATCATGACATTTTGCTTTGCCAATTTAATTGTCATCGCGATGTGTTTTTGCGGGACAAGTCATTCAATTATATCTAGGTTCACATATCTACATTCATATACAGGTATGGGTTCGAGATCACTTCTTGGCTAAAAGAATATGATATTGAGAGTGGAATCGTATATTTTAAATGGGGTCATAATTGTTTCGTGGAGTACTATATTTTGGCATGCTCCGTCGTGTTTGTGAATATGTTTGTTTTGTGAATTTCCGTCTTTTGTTCGTAGTGTTATGTAACTCTGAATTCGTCTCTGGTGTATTGAGGGGGGTGGTCAGTTAGTAGGTAATAGAAATTAATTGTTAGGCGGTTTGAGGCTATTGAGGGGTTCGTTGGGTGGACATTTTAATGATGGTGTGTTAAGGTCCCATAATGTAAGTGGGTGGTAGAGGGATTGCGGGCGATCAAGAAGGCCTCACGAGGGAGGTCGACGGCCGTGTGGTTGAGAGAGATGGGCTAGCCCGTGGTCAGGGGAGTCATAGGTTGGGGACGTAGGCGACTATCTGAGGCATTAAGGTGCATGGCGAACTTCGATGCCGCGGACCGAACGCGTAGGTGAGAATTAGATAGATAGCGAAATGGCAAGAAGCCTATCATGTATGATGTATGATGAGGTTGTGTAAGGTTTGTAGTTGGTCATAGTCGGCGACACACGCCAGCTCAATGATTCAGGGAGTTCCAGATTTATATAGGGTCAGTGCTGTTATGCTTGCACTGCCTGTCACAATAGAGAGTTGAACAAAAAGATGGTTGGAGTGTGATATAAATAATCCTGCAGATTTGGCCTCTATACCGCTACTTTTTACTCTTTATACAGATGTTCTTGCCTGTCCGCCCTTCGGTTAATGTTAGTTAACAGTGCATAAATCATTACGAGTTTACAATAAATAATAAATACATAAATAAATATAATTTCTGCTCCGATGATTGTTGATCCTTGTCATCCACGTTTGGCTTCTTTTGTTTCCAGTTGAACGCTTCTTTCGTTCACATCGCTCTTTCTCACATCGACTAAAGGTGTTTAATTGCAGGTGCATGGCCATGCGAAGTGGAAAGTCGATCACCTGAGTGTCACCCGACCCGAGCAGACCTCATATAAATTCGAGTTGAACGGACTCGGTGAGCATACATATTTCCTCGGGGATTCGTTATGGCACAACTTTACGAAATGTTGGACATTAGCTGTAACACACCCACCACCTCTGGCAACTTTGTGGAACTATATTGCCTAAACCCTATAAGTCGCTATAAAAATATGCTGACAAGTGGAAAGGGGGGGGGGGAAGAATCGTGAGGGGATTTCGGGAAGAACCTTTTTTCTGCAGTTTTTTACCGTCCCTTTCAAATAGTCCTTCTGCTTCAGAGCCGTCTACGAAATACCACTTTCGGCTATCGGCGTCAAGCACGAAAGGTGAAGGACAGCGAAGTGTCGAACACGTGGTGATGACTGATGTCCCAGGTTTGTCTGTTGAATGCACGCGCCTCAAAATACGCATTTATTTATTCGGTGACTAGCTCATCTGCATAAATTAAAATATGCGTAGGAATCAGCATTCCAAAGCATAGCTAATATTTTGAAGGATGTCAGGTCGAATAAATGAGAAACAAGCGTTTATGGACCAATGTGTGATCCTTCAACAAGGATAAATAATATTTATAGTAAAAAAAAAGATTATTTTGTCAATCTCGTTTGGATACGCCATGAATTCGCCATTCGTTTATAGAAGACCCCAAATTTCTTTGACAGTCGCACAATCACGGAGCACTCATGCCTCTCGTGGTCCCAACGATGAACCCTTTCCAGTGCCAGCTGCACCAGAAATCTCTTCACTGACCTTTGACTGCAAAAATGGCATCCTCCTGCAGTGGAATTCCAACGAAGGGCAGAGCTGTGAAGTGGAGATCACTAACGAAACAAGCACATTACGATTTAACACCAGCGCTTCGAAGGTAACAACTGAACACCTTTCTGTACTCCTTATATTATATTGTTATATTATTGTGGGGTCATTTGTGCCTTAGAAGGCTTAGAAGCAAGGGTCAAAAATGCCTTTGCAACCTGGCTACGCCCCATTGAAAACCTATGAGGTCTCTCCGGGAATGTGAACCATGATTACCCGGAAATCTGGTCTAAATAAATCGAATACTAC